CCACACATCAGGAAATCCATTAAAAGGCAGCTCTAATTCTTAAATGTGTAGTAAAGGTAAATAAAAAGCCCTGGGGTGCAGTTGGAGGAAACTCTGGGATTCTCTGAAAGGCTTGGCGTTGCTCTATGTGCAGCGCCCGTGGAAGGGGTCGCTCAGCCGGGCACCGGCAGCAGCAGGAGGGACACTGGTGGAGCTGTGCCTGGGGCATGTCCCTGCCAGCTCTGACCATCACTCCCACGTGCTGGCTGCACTCTCATCCTGCATCTGCACCCCTCTGCCCTTGGGGTGCTCTGTGCTCCCTCAGCCGGGGCCATGTGGCCAGACAAGGTGAGGTCTGATATGCCGAGGCTGGAGGAGAGCAGGAGTTCTGGCTCACATCCAAACCCCACCCTGGATGATTTTGCTTTGCACCTGTACGTGAGTGCTGAATTTTAGACCATTTTCTTCCCCCAGTATGTGAGTTCTGCCTAGAGTGATATATTATTAATTTAGGTTTAAAACAAACACAAAGAAAAAAAGGAATAAATTAATAATGTATGGATTAGCTTATACATTTCAGCTCACAGCTGAGAGAGATGGCAGAGAGCAATCCTCCTTTTAAATTCCTTAAGACAATTGCTTTTCTTTCTTCCCCCCAAACCCCAAACAGTAATAAGGGCTCTGCTGTTTATCGCTTAGCATTGCACTAAGAAGCCACCTGGACCTGAAATTAATTTTTATGTTTAAGAGCAGAGTGGGAGACTGGCCACAGAGTTATACTCATTTGAATGATAGCTTTTTATGTAAGATGTTTTCTGTAGCTGTAATTTCAGTTTCCTTAGGTCCAAGTTGCAACTGACTCAGTTTGCTTCTCACTTCCTTTAGTATTTCCAGGTTTTCTAGTATCACAGCTCATGTGCCAGCCTTGCCTAGTGCTCAGCTATTAGGGGACCTTTCATAGAGGGAAGATTATATTTTATTTGTAAAATATGGAGCCTATGAGAGATTTTAACCACCTTATACTTTAAATGGGAAAGTCTGAGATTCAGATTAAATAAATAAGAAAAATGCATATCTTTAATATTGAAATACAATGACGGCTGAAAGTGCTTGAAACATTTGAGTGCCTTTATGGCAGTTTAACCAACTGTGTCCATAAATATTTAAAGCAGTGAATTATTTCTTGAAATTTACATTTTTATGTACCATTTTGGTGGAAGAAGTATTGAACAATAAAGATGCTTTCCCTAATAATTTCAGCTTTTCAAAAAGCAGCACTTGACTGTGAAAAGATTTTCTGGTGGCCGCCACATGATTCAGTGATCTTCCAGCACAATACTGAGCTTTGATATTTCCTATCTCCAAATTAAGGTTTTTAACAGCACAAGATAACCTAGATCCAACCTATGTTTCTGCACTTCCCAAACAAAAAAACAAATTAAAAAGAGCTGTGCAGCAGCTACTGCTACCTTTCAGCTGTGTGGCTGTTTACATAGAAATATCTGACTGATAAAAGTTCCTTTTTTTAGGATGGGATCAATAGGGATAAAGTGGCCATTTAAATCCTGCCGTAGCTTTGTAAAGGGTTACTCTGTGTAAAGCATCCTGGTTTGCTCTTCAGTGGATGATAAGATCCCCACCCCACAGGTAACCACAGCCAGCAGCTACAGGCGTGTTCTGCTCTGTGCCAATGCCTTGTGCCAGGCTGCAGGAGCCAAAACGTGGCGCAGGGAATGTGCTCTTATGAGACACAATAATCTGTGCCACTGAGCTTGCTCCAAGGAGAGCTACATTTGCAGTAGGGGGTAGCTGACAAGATGAAAACATCCAAGTGGCTGGGTCAGTCAACAAATGTGCCAGTGATGGGCTGAGACCTGGCAGGGGAGCATTCTGCATTTCTGGAGCTGTCCTGAGCACACTGGAACTGAAGTGCTCTTTCAGTCGACCAAGAAGTAGCAGAGTGATTTTCATTTATTTTTTTTTAATACAGTTTGAGTATGATTCCCGGTGGCATTTATTAAAGAAGCTGAAATTCTAAAATACTCCCCAAAATATTGCACTAAAAGTGAGGCAATAATTTTCTTTTTCATTTTTGTATTCACAAGTGAGCTGGAAAGTAATATTACAGAAAACTACATAAATCACTGACATGTTGTTTTCTGTCTGTGTATCATTGTTACTGATAATGATCACCAAATAATAATGATTCAGGCCCTGTGATGGGTTACATGACATTATAATCTGTTTCAATCTGCTTTTCATTTTTAGGATATATTACTTTTCAGATAAACTGTGAACTGAAAATCCCCAAGAAAGGATAGTGGAATGTAAATTTACAAAGTCTAGACAGCCAGGTGAAAACTGATTTTCTACACCTTATAAAGAACTATACTGTAAACCAAATCTTTATTTAGTCTGAATAGTTCCACAGTTTCCAGCTGGTTGCAGAGAACTGCTGTGCTTTGAATCAGCTGACAATAAAACTAAAATGCATAAATCTTTTTTATCAGACAACAAGTACAAATGCTTCTCTGTTAAGTAAACTGAAGTACATAAATCCTTAGCTACACACTCAGCTAGAGCATTTCTGCTGTGACAAGGGCTGACTGCATGTGTGTGAAATTTCAAGGGGTGGTGTTCAAGTTGTGTCAATGAGGCACACACAGAGAAGGTTTTCACTAAGGTAGTCACAGCATTTCCAGCAGCAGCTGGATGACAAATTAACTCTATTTGGTAGGGCACTTGCAGGGCCCAATTCTTACTCCTGCAAACACATTCTAGTCTGGCTTTCTCTTCATTTGCTGTGAAGAATAGATTGCAATCTAGACACCATCCAGTACTAGTGAGAAAGAGAAATGTGTGCATTTCCAAAGAATTTTGAAACTTCATTTTTATCTTTCCTTTTCCCTGATTAGTAACTCAAAGTGAACGTTATTGGTGTGAAGAAAAAAATCACATATGATTGCATGCATCTGTTATGTGAAAAAACACATCAGTATTTTTGATAGCTCGATGCTGTCAACTGAAACAGTTCAAATTCTGATAATAATTTGGGCTCTTCCTCTCTTTGCACAGCTCCTTGTATTAGCAGGTCTGTCTGTGCAGCCACAGACAGATCTGCATCACAGACATCTTGTAGCAAAGGTCCCTGAAAGGCAGATGTCATGTTATATTGATACAGACTGTTATTCAACCTTGTACCCTGCTGGGGTTACCAACTAGGAAAAACAAACACTTGGATTTTCACTGCAGTGTCTTTTTACATACATTAAAGTAGGTAAGTGACCTAGAAGTTCATGGAAGAGGTTTGAGTTTTGAAGATCTTTGTCACAATAAAATGTCACTGAAACCTATTTACAGCTCCCAGCCCAGACTGGTTTAATCATTTTCTCATGCACTGTTACTACTTGAAGGCTGTGGTAAGATATCCTCAACATTAAATTTTTCTATTAACCAATAGTAATTAATGAAATACACTAATGATTGTATCTTGAAGTGCATATCCAGTTAGATATTTTCATGTTTCCTGTATGAAGTTTTATTGAGGAAACCTCAGGCTGACTGTGTTGTTACTCATTAAGGTCATCTGAAGACTGGAATGTCAAAGAACCCAAAACAAGGTGAGATTTTGTCACTGTTGTGCTCAGGTGGGGTCTCTACCCATCACAGATGTCTGACAGTGCCTCTTCCCCTGTTTGCTCTACCACAGTCTGTAGGGTATTGAGCCACAGGCAAATCAAAGTGATTTGAATGTGCTCCTTTTCTGGGACTGTATCATCTGAATGGTGATCCCTGTTGAACAGCCCCAGTTCCTGGGCATGACTGGGAGAGGAACAACTCAGACTGTCAGTCCTGCCCTGAGTTCAGCATGGGCCCCTCAGGGGCATCGTCTGTCTCTCGGTGACTCCTGGTGATTTCTCTTTCTTTGGCTCTCTCAAACCTACCAAAGTCCCTTTAAGCCACTAAAAGCTTTTGAAATAGAGCTCAAGGGAAGATTGTTATGTCTATCAAATATGGATTCCAAGACTATAGATATATACAGAAATTAAGGTACATCATACAGAAATCTGTGTGACTAGAACTGAGAGTATCATGTAAGGATCTCTTTGGGTTTGAGATATAAAATTCCAAACTGAGAACTGATTTTTTGTTTTTCAAGAGGAGGTAAACAGCAGCTTTGAATTACTGAGAAGCACAGTAAATAGCTCTCACAACTAAAGAGCAATCTAATGTTTCTTCTGTATCTAGTTTTCCATGTGAATTTTTCACGGCTACAGATGGGAAAGAGCAGGAATGAATTCTTTCTCCATGCATTGCTCAACTTGCAAGGAATGAAATTAGGGTCTTGAGAAAAGAACAGATAATCACCAGCCATGAAGAAAGCAGACATCACTGCTTCACTTGAAAAAATCATTCAACTGTGTTTTGAATTGCTGTTCTTTTCATTGACTTGTGGTGTTGCAAGCAGAAAGTAATTTTCTGACTCCAAGGATTTTCCAACCAAGTGCAATTTCATTCCCTAGGTTATGGTGCTGGGCACACCCAAAATGGATTTGTGCTCTTTTGTTTTGTGGATTGTGTGCTTTTATTAGAGCTTTTGAGAAGTACAGATATGTTGCTTACACAATATTGCCTTAGGAGATAGCTTCCTTAGAAAGTGCCTGAAGAACTTGCTCCTAGTGAAATGACAGCTGAAAAGATTTAATGTATTTCTATAAATTATTAATAAACCACAATTTGGTAGGGAACCATTTTCAAAATTATTTTCCTGGCATATAAAAGTTGTAACAGAAATGTTACATTTTATCCATCTGCTGCATGGTGTGTGCTTTTAATAATTAAAAAGTGTATTGAAACCAACATAAACTACAGGCTTTTGGCCTATATGGTAAAACCATGCTATAAATGTCCCTTAAAGGATTTATGATTGATATGTATGGAGTATTTTGCAAAAGATTATTTCATTATGTGGATGATTAGCAGTTACTTTATAATGAAATGTGTACTTGTGTATTTTGTAGAACCACTAGATGAGCTGAAGATCAGAAGCCACAGCACTGAACCTCTACCAAAGCTGGAAAACAAAGAGAGAGGACATCATGGGACAGCTTCCTCTAGGGAGCCAGGGAAAGCTCAGGAATGGGATGGAACGCCAGGCCCCCCTGTGGTGTCGAGCAGGCTGGGGAGATCCTCTGTCAGCCCTACCATGCTGGCTGGAGGCAACAGCTCAGGTAGGTCAACTAGCAGAGCAGGGAAGATCTAATGAATCTCCTTGTGAGATGAAGAATCTCTAAAGATACACAGGTATCCAGATTCTTTAGACTTCCAAATATCTTCTAGGTTTGGCCCTACCCATTGACTGCTGCACTAACCGGGCTTGTGCTGTACTTGTGCTCTGTGCTGGAACAGCTGGGATGGTGGCACAGGGTAGAAGCATGTAAACATGACAGTTATTTACTTTAAAAGAGGTAAAGGATTCCACCTGACATTGAAAAGGGGCACTATGGCAAAGACACTCGTAGGGTGGCACCTCAGGAAGAAGTTCATAAGTTCAGGTATCACATAAAGTAACAAAAACACACTGTGCAAAAGCAAGACTGTCTTACTGAGGGTCACAGTGACAGGACACAGGCAGCCTTTGCTGTCTGCCTGTACAGAAATTTCTAGAATAGTGACTATGGATTTCAGAAGTCTCAGATTCTAACCTATTCATGTTATTAATCAAAAATGTTTACGTGTTAAATAGTAAATTGCCATATGCCATGGCATTATAATGCAGTCTTGTTTATAAATTGACTAAGACAAGCAGAAACAATAAATGGAGATCTATAAAGAGATATCCATGGCCCTTGCATGAGCACTGTATTGCTACCTTTGAGATTTGACAGCTCTCATAAAAAAGTAACTTCATTGCTTATTAGTTGGACTGTGAGAAATATCCACTTTAAGAACAGTTGGCATATCTAGTACTGAAGCTTCATGGTCAATGTTCAGTGAGTATAAGAGCATGAATGAGCTACTCAGACAAGAAATCATTCCTGCCTGAGAGATCTGCTGGGCAGTGAGTGGCAGCAGGGAGTGCTTAAACTGCTGAGTGAGCAGAGATGCTCACGCCTCACCCAGAACATCACTTCCCTGAGTGATAATGGGACTCACATTGTCCCTGAATTGCTGCAAATGACACCTGAAACTTAGTGTATAAATTGAAGAGTCTTTGCTGATGCGGAATGTTATTTGCAGCAATCATGTACTCCAGCTTTACTTGCTACAGACCCCCCAAACAATCCTTCCTGGTGCAATAAAAGTGACTTTTCTGCAAAACTTATGACTCTAGCACAGATTTTTTGTGTGTTACTGCCATTTGCTTACTTGTCTGTTCTCACAAAGCTTCCTGGAAGGTGGGAATTTTCCAGATTAGCTCATAGCTTTTGGTAAAAATTCTGTTCCCAGTGTATTAGAGCGTCATCTGTGCTAATGCGGGTTAAAGGATGGGTTTAAAGCTACCACATCAAAGTTTTGGTACATCCAATAATTAGATTAAAGATGTGTACCAGCCTCTTCAGTTCTGCAAGATGACACTATGGAGCAGAGTAGTAAAGAAGTTAAAACAGAAGAGTATGCTCTTAGCAAAATACAACACTGCTGTCCAACATTTCTGCAGCAGTTTTATTCCAAAGAGTTGGTGGATCTCCAAAAGCAGACAAAACATGTTGGCCTCATTCTCCATTTGGCATCAGCAAACTGTAATAGTTGTTGAATCATGCCTTGATTTAGTCAACTTTGTCTTACATTGCTATGACTGTCAAAGAAAAATTTTATTTTCTTGGCTGAATTTTGACTCCTTTCTATGATTAAAATCTGAGAGCTGATTATGACTTTTCTTTCCATGCAGATTTATGATATTTCATTTGATGAATATTGCCTCTCATCTGCCCTGAATATTTTTTCCTCTGTGTCTCTTGCTGTTGCCTGAGCAACATGTTTTACCTTTACTTGGTGAGGCACTGCATTGAGAATGCTCTACACAGTTCTCCTCAATGAACTTGTACATGAACTGTAACAGCTCATTCTCTGCAATTAAATTAAAACTGTAACAGAATGCAAGAGGAGAGATTTAATACTTTCATATGAATACAAATGCTTTCTGGAGTCAAGGAGATAAAGTGATTCTGCACTAGGAATTAGAACTCAGATTTATTGCAGGAGCAAATAAAATCAAGGCAGTTCCCAGTAAAGTCATCCCTGCTGTTGCTCTCTTTGCAACATCGTAGATAACAGAAAAAAAGGCTACTTTTTCTTTTTTTGCAGACATGTCCTTGAAATGCCACAGTTTGGTACCTGTCTCCTGGTTCACACTGGTACAGGCATTTATTAGGGCAGTTATTGGAATAAATTTGTAAAAATGGGGTTGAATTGCTATGCAGTAAAAGGGAAAAGGTGTGAATAGACTTTCCACACGTGTTCATCAGGCAGTTCTGCTCCAGCACAGATGAGCTGGGAACTGGGGTGGCCCGGGCAAATACCTGAGTGGGAACACAGATTTTTGGTGGGTTCCCCCCAACTCTGAAAGTGCTGGTAAGATCAGAGGGAGAATGAGCCATCTCCAAACAGAAGCTTTAACTTTCTGTCCATTTTGTTCAAAGAGCTTGGGATGTCAGCTGCACACAGTTATCACTGTCTTTAATGCCTGATTGTTCTGTGACAGAATTTGTCAAGGGCACTTTCTGTTTCTTGGCATCCTATAATTTCTTACGGAAAGCAGTGTGATTTGGGGGCATGCTGACTTTTAGGAAAGTCAGTGCAATTATAATGAGCAGCCAAACACAATCTGTAACACAGAATCTGTGTAACTTCGCTCCAGGAGACTTGAAGAGTATTTTCTGGAATGTTGCTGCTTTTTTCCTAACTGCAATGAAGAAGCATTTTGCATTGCCACCTGCTGCTGGAGACAGGCACTGCCCTGCCTTTTAAATCTCAGAAACTCTGTTGCACCCTGGTTTTGAATTGCCACCAGCTTGTCACTCAGCCAGCCGTAAATATTCCATCTGAAAACATAATTGGTAATCAGGAAAGGAGTAAATGCCCACCCTTCATTGGAATTACTGTCCATCATTGTTGATTTCCAGAAGTAATGAATATTTGAAGTTCATCTATTTGGGAATGGGGCAAAGCCTGGGAGGCCCAAGGCACAAGATGCATGCATTGGTGTGAAAAGGGAGTAGCAGCCAAAAGTCAGTTCATGCCAGCCCTATCTGCTTCGTGCAAAGATGACTCAGTAGTCCCACAAATCCCTACATTTTCTCATCACAGGCAGCATCACTGTGCTCCTAAATCCACAAGGATTCTCCACGTGAATTGAGCTGGGGTTTTATGTTGCTGCCCAAAGAGGCCCAGACCTTGCTGCACTGGTCATTCATGTTCTCTCCTCACAAGCTCCTCCTGAGCAGTTCCTGTCACCTGTCATAAAACGAGCAGCACTGGGAGCTGCACACCGAGGTCATCCCGCCAGTCCCACAGTCCTGCTGTGGATCCTCCAGGGATGTGGGACCTCCAGGATGCAGGACCACACCAATTCTGGCTGGAGTAAAAATATTGCCTAGGTGTAAGAAAAACACAGACAAAAATCCTGAACAAAGATACAAAACACTTACTTCTATTTCAATGAAGCCAGGAAATAGTAAACAGACACAGCCAAATCCTACAACACAGAAATAGCTTTACAAAGAAAATAAACACCCATATTTCAGGATACAAAGTATATTCCACTAACAGCTTTTCCCTTTGGGCAAAAGAGCCCCAAGCCTAAACAGAGGGTTCCTTTTCAGACATGGTTTTACTCATTACCTCACTTGGGTTTAAGACTTGTTAAACTTTTGACCTATGGATATCTGGTAACACTGAGTTCCACAGATTCAGCGTTCCCCTTGTGGAAACTCTTCAGTTTGACGTGCTGCTGTGATATTTTAGCACTAATTGGCTTCTGCCAATAGCAAAGTACTAATACTTTTTTAGATAACAGAATACTATATAGCTTATTGCACCCTATTGTTTCATAATTTCAAGTTATATTTCAGCTTACTCATCTCTTTTCGCCAGTATGAAGATACTTGGTGTGATGTATTTTTCCAGTATGCATGCTGTCTTTTTCTTCTTTTTCTTCCTTTTTTTTTCTTTTTTCTTTTTTTTTCATGTGATTGCTCTCAGCCTGTCACATTGCCTTGTTTAATTCAAAACGCATTTCTTGGCAGCTGTAGCAAATAAGCAATATTTCTCTTTTCATGTGCAAAGAAGAGACTGTGACAGGGTAAGAAGCTTCTCCAATGTGAGTGACAGCCAGAGTATTTTTTTGAATTAAGATTAGGAAAGGCAGAATGAAGGCTTCCTTGGATGAATAAAGAACTCTTCCTATTAAGATCCAAAAATAAAAATCATGAAGAGTTGTTGTACTTCTGAAGAATATAGAAAGCCATAGCACATTGGTATTAAACTGATTGAAAATATTTCTGTAAAATCTTGTGGCATTTCAGTGCTGTCCTTTATTGAGGAAAATCCTACAACACCCCATGTCCCAAATGCAATCAGCCAAGCCCCTACATCTTTAGTCATGATGGCAGCCCTTGCAGTTTTGGAAAACAAGGCATTTATATGAGAACTTAGACACATAATTAAATGCACAACTTTAAGGCAATCCTATTTGTGTTTGGAAAGCCTGTATTTCTGTGTCACACAGCCTCTCCTAAAATTCTCATCCTTAATGCTGCCCTTTGGAACTAAATTCTTGCCTGTTTCCATGTGTAATCCTCCTGGTGCTGTCAAGACTGAGTTTAAACCCGGGAGTGCAGTGGCGTTGCAGCTGACTTTGTGTGTGGGTTTGCCTGGAGTCAGGGGCTGTGGTCCCACCCTGCTGTCCCAGTGCTGTGGCCACTGTGGGTGCCACGAGAGGGGACTGAGGTGCACTGGCCCCCCAGGGCCTCCCAGCCCTGCACTGCACCTGGCTCCCAGACACCTGCAGTGCATTTTGCCTATCAAATCCCTGTGAGAGATATGACATTTGAAGCCGTGCAAAATAATGCCACTGAAATTCCGAATGCACCAACTGAATTTTATGAACATTTTCGTGCATAGCATTTCACAGCTTTCTGGCTCCCCCAAAAATCTGCTGAATTCAGACCTCATGCTGCCCATTGATTGCAAGGGGCATCTCTAGTGGCTGCTCACATACTCTGGCCTACAGAGCTCTCCCATGTGTCCATCAGGACAGCTGAAAGAACTCAGCTCCACACCATGAATTACTGTCACTTGGGGGACTTCTCAAGAAGTCCAAGACCACTTATTTCAGATGTTAATACTGAGCTGTCTCAGTATCATCAACAAGACATAAACATGAATTTCTAAACACTAGAAACTAGATTATTGGCATTAAATAGGAAAACTCAGATAGCCCTAGCACAGTGAATAAGCTGCCCGTAGCTGAAAAATAACATGCCACGGAATACAGAGCAGTGAGTTGTGCAGCACTTAAAGAACAGACCATTTATGGACTATTTTTCCCCCACAATGGTGTGCTGTTACTCAGACCACTAATTACAGTAGAATACAGTATATATTTGGTCTAAAAATATTGCCACTGAGACACAAAAGCTAGATGGAGCTATGTCTGAAGCACCTTTTGGTGAGGATCACTATGGAAATCACAATAGTTTCCTTAATACTGTAATATATATTACAGGGAGATAAAGGAACTAATACTTCATCTGTGTGTGATAGGTTTTATTTCTTTGATGCCAGATGAAAGGAGTCTCTTTGGCAAGGAAATGGTAATCTCTTGTTGTTGCACATAGATCCAAACTGGAAATTATGACACTTCTTTCTGCTTTCCTAAAGCAAAGAAAATAATTCAGAAGCACAGTCAGACAGTGTCTTGGAGTTTTTTATGTGCTGAATGTCTGATTGTGCTTGTCACAGCAGAAACAGAATCTCTACTTAGCAGTAGAGAAAAACAACTGAAAAAAACCCAGTTCTTGTCCTTTCTGAAACCCCAGCAAAATTCCAGGAGATGAGAGATGAGGTATAATAATGAGATCCATTATTATATCTATATTACTGAAAGGAGCAGTCAGAAATCTGGCACAAAGACAGCGTGAAATCAGAACGAAAACAAATCTAGTCAACCTTCAGAGTAACTGCCCAAGTCCAAAAAAAGCAAACCAGCAGACTGTGTACAAAAACAAGGTTATGGAGGAGGCCAGTCTGCTCCTTTCTGTGTGCCTATGGCTGTGTTGACTCATGGTGTGTTTACAGACTGACTAGGAGAGAGTGAATTGAATAATGCATTCGGTGAATAGCATAAATATTTTTGCTGCTCAGCCAGCTGGCTGTTAACTAACCTATTAATATTTAGTTGATGAATATTCACCCATACAGATGCTTTCATTGCCTTAAGTGCTCCAGCCTAAGTGGATAGCTTTTCTCCACACCCTGTTGAATTCTGAAATATCTGAGGAAAATAAGCATTTAAGTTGACAATGAGAAAGCATCAGTGAGAGTGGAAGAATCCAGGATGTGGCTGTTATGTGGAGAAATGTGCCAGCTGTTTCCAAAGGTGTGCCAAAGGCATATCCAAAGTTTCCAAGGTGTGCCAAGTGACTTTAAGGACATGCTGGTGATAGGCATCTTCCTTTCAAGCTGTGGCCCAACCTATGGCCAGTGGTGACACTAGAGATCCACACAGGAAATAGAGAAATCAGTGTAAAACAAACACTGACAAAGCAGCTGTGTAAATGAGGCATGAAAAGACAGATTTTGGACAGATACAGTCAAAAAACGTGCTTCAGAGGCAAACTTGCTAAGCCACAACTCCAGGAGGCATAGGTCCTTCATTTCTTCCTGAAAACATGGAATTGGAGGAATTCTTCAAACTTTATTTTAAAAAACCTTAAATTCTTTAAGTTGTAATGAAGCATGGTATTGTAATTGCATGTTATTCATGGTAAAGCAGCACTGTCAATGTGAAAAGTGAGACTCTGTTATTGTACCAAATCTGTCTGGTGAGTCCAAACGTTATCAGTGTTTACCCACTAAATAGGAATAGCAGGTGCAGGGCTGGGGAGAAGGTTTCTGAAACATGAGGAGAATGAACACATTGATCTGAGCAGAGCCATAGACTGAGGTGCTTCCTCAGCCTTATAAAGGAAATGTAAGAACAAAAAATATTTCTTGGGCAGAAACAGGCAGATCCTTTTTTCAGGAAAAGACAGTTTCCTCCAGACCAGCTGAATGCTGGGGTAGCACATGGGTGTCAGCATGGCTTAGATATAAAAACCTTTGTCCAGGCCTCCTGAACTGCATGGTCACCTCATGTCAGTGTACAATAGTAACCTGTGCTGGAAATCAATGGGGAGCCTTCTTAGAAATTATACAATATAAAACAGCAGAAGGAAAATCAAATAACTGTGTCATTTCTGTGCAGCTATTCTCTCAAAGTGAAGCTTTCTCTCAAGGCAAACGTTGCTTCTGTTATCACCTTGATTCTGGGCAACTGACTTGCCACTGCTGATGTTTTGATTTGTCTCTTCCTACTTTATGTCTCTCAATTCATTGCCACTGATGTGAGATTCCCAAGTATTTTTGGTGTCGTTCCAAATCCCCAAGTGTGACAGTATCCTCATCACTTTTACATACCACCTCCTTCATTTTCTGGCGTTTCATGCTTTCCTTCAGCACAGTCAGTCTTTGGGCTGCCATGTCACTCAGCTCTGGGATGGAAAGATGAAACCAGAAGCCTCTGTAACTCCCTTAATCTCTGCTGTATTTCATGAGGACAAGAAAAGGCATTGGGGAGCAGGGGAGTGGGGAAAAAGGAATGCTTTTTTTGTATTCTTCCTGTCTACTGTTTTATGCTCTATCCTTCAGAGGTCCCAGAGCAAAGAGGCCAGGACGTGGCATGAGTCCTGTCTGAATTCCTCTTCTGATCTCAACTTCTGCTCGTGATTCAGCCAAACGTCCAAGACTTTAACTCGATACCAAGGCAGGAGTCTCCATTTCAAGGGAATTCTGCATCCGCAGTGTTTCAGCTTGCAGCAGCGGTACCCTGCTCCTGCTCACTGCTGTTTCTGCTCTCTCCCTTTCCAGAGTCTAAATCAAGCTGCCGCTTAGGCCGCTCCGCATCCACGTCAGGCGTGCCTCCTCCGTCTGTGGCGCCGCTCAGGCAGCCCAGCGACCTCCAGCCGAGCCAGGTACCATCGTTTGCCAATCGGGAATGACTCCATGTGCTGCAACATGCCAAATGTTCCCACCTCTCTGTCTGTCATTTGTTACAGTAAATGATTTTTTTGGTTTATGTCTTTATTTTCTGTGCGTGTGCGTGCATCTGTGTGTGCACATCTCTCATTGGCAATGAAATTCCCCTGGCCGCAGCCAGCAGAATTTTCTTTGCTCTTAATTCCTTGTATCTTTTTCTGTCTTCATTCTGTAATATAAATGTAGTAAAACTGTACTGTATGAACTGGCTGGGTTTTTTTCTTTTTTCATGTTTTCTGTACTTTTTTACTGTCTTAAAATTTATCAAACTTTGATAAATTTAATCTATGTTTTTATGTAAATTTCTTTTAAATGTCTTGTCTAAAGCACTTACACCAATGTTGTCAATTACTTGTACATACTTGACTTCTGCCCAGTTGTACTTTAATATTTGTGCCAGTCTCACATCTGGTTGGAGCTTAATGCATGATTGTATTACACTGTGATTTATCACTGTCCTGAAAACTGCTCTTACAGCAAGTGATTTTGTTTAGTTGAGGCAGCTAGACTCTCTTCAGCTATAGACTATATCATGCCTATTGGACTATTAAATAGTCCACTGTAGTTATATTTATTGTACATTTTTAGGAATCAAAAAAACAAAGGAGCAACATCTCCTTTTATCTTAAACAGAGATGCTTTTTTTGTCCTCATCAAAAACAAAAATAGAAAAAAATGAAGGTGTTTGGATTTGGCAAATTTCTCCAATAGAGAGAAAATAGAAAAGAAATAAAGACATGGGAAACCTATACTTTCCTTTATTTTATATGCTAATACTGATATTGTAACATTTTGTTGCACAGACCTGTATTATTAGTTTGACAGAACTAGCTGAAAGTAGCAATTGAAAGAAGAGGTTTTGCTTAAACATCATGTGAATGGCTTCTGTCAAAGCACTGTGGCACTGCATCGCTGGTGTGTACGTGTGGGGTGTGTGTGCACAAGGAGACAGGAGCACAGATGGATTTATGTGCATATGCATATACGTGTGCACACACAGTCACCCTTATTTTGATGGAGAATTTCTGAGTGGCTTTCAGGGAGTTAGTCCCCAAAACCCTACTGAATGTCATTGAGGTTTGAGTGGAAATCTCCCTGAGGGCTGCTTTGCAATAATCACATATTTGTGTTTGTATCTTGGTGAGTTGCTCCAATGATGTCTTGACCAAAGCAAAGACCACAAGAGTAAGGTTGATTTACTCCCTCCCGACAGCCAGCAACTGGTTAGGAAGGTTATATTTGGAAAACCAAGCCTGTACAGGTTACAGTTCTGTACCCTGTGTGAACTGATATGATTGTATTACTTCTGAGCACTGCCAGACGCGAAGACTCAGAGAACCCTGCACATTTCTGAAGCATATTTTACATAAGAAAATCAAATCCATAATGGAGATTCAAAATGACAGCCCATTTAAATAACACATCAAGTGTTCCTTCATCTAAGGAAGAAATTAGGGTAATTGTACTTCCAAAGGTTTTCAGTGTCCCAGTGTGCAGGTAGTATATATTTTTGATTAAATGGGTCTTACAGCACTCATGATGCTTTGCTGTTTACTCAGTGGCAAAGGCACCTTGGGTGTTTTGAAGAGATTTTAGCTTGTCATTTTATAGTAAGAACTAAACAATAAGCCTTGAAAGCAGAACCTGATGTGAGAGAAGAGATAATGAGCCTCTTAGAAGCTGAGGCCAGGGTTCACTGAAACTGTGGAGGGAAAAATCCACCTCAGTTCGTACAGAAGAAAAGAACAAAGATGATAAGAGGAATTTTCAAGTGACTGTAGGAGGGTGATCTTGTTAATTGAATAATGTATGGTATGGTCATGACTTCATGGAAAACAAGAAAAACTAGTACAAGCCTTCTCTCTCTCTCATTTCTCTCCTTTTCCCTTCCAGCTGACAATCTCTTGCTGTCCATCTATTATGCTGTCATTTACTATAACAGCATAATTTTTAAAGTTGTGGATTTGACCCTGATTTCAGAGAAATGACAAAAGTCTTTTCTCCGTGGCAGATACAAACATTGATTCTTCTTTCAACACCTATTCTATCTCAATGTGCAAATAATGGATGATGGGTGAAATGTGTTTCCAACAGCTGGGCTGTTAGTCCATTCTCAGTCTGCCAGGTTGTGGCATACAGGGTATCTATTTTTGTGTGCTGTGGCTATTGATTGTATTGATACTGCTTTCCTTAACAACATCATTATGAGCAGTTAGGCTTTCCAAAAGATTAAGAAGACATGTTGTGTTATCCACCTCTTTGTTGATCAGATGGGCACAGCTAACATTCAAACAGGAATATAAGATCTGGGAAAGGGAAGATTACTGTTAATTGGTTTTCTCAAATCTTCATGGACCCCAGACTGATGGTTCTCAAAATGCTTAATTTAGGAAAAAAAAAAAAAAAAAAAGACAAATTTGCAACTGAGTTCTCAAAACCCATCATTTTTAATACAATTGTTCAAAGTAGTGGTGACTATGCTTAGGAATTAAAAATAGATCTGATCTAAGGAAACCTATACTATAATTACAATCATATATTAGATAATTATGTAACTATTGTCATTAACTCCCCTATGCCTTATTATCTTATTTCTTATTTGCTTATTGATGTAGGAATTGTGAGGATTAATCAGTCAGTATTCACAGAATATATCTATGGTATATTGATGGGAAGCAGTAGAGGGATCACGTAAAAATAAAAGGAAAGGGCTTATAAGCAGAGATTAACTATGTGGCTGGTCTCTGATGGAGAACACTAAAAATTCTGCAGTGTAGTGGCAACCAGCATTTGCCAACATGCTGAGCCAGACTGAGAGCCTGCCTTCTGTCTTCAGTTCTGGGAAATGGTGAGGGCACTGGGAAAGAATTGATTGCAGGAAGCAACCTTGGATGAAGTAATGAATTGTCTCAATTTAAACTGAAAGATAAACAAGTTTATCTTGGAACTGAAGTTATTGATTGTAAAAGAATAAAGTTTAAGAAATTAAGGAAGTAGCAGAAGAATTCAGGTAGGGGTCTTGGTGTAATAATAGCAGAAGCATAGAATATTTTTGAGCTACAATGTGGTACATTGCTGTATTTCCTAAATGCATATCTAAATAAAAATATCCTACAGAGAGAGGTGTAAGTAGCAGAGAAGTATTCTAGATAGGATGTATTGTTTTGTAAAGAAAGGAAAGAAGGAGCTCTTAAACATTCATGCTGAAAGACAAACCAGCAGGGAAGATGACCAGCCTTTCTCAACTGTGTTTTAGCTGGGACTCAGGAAAAGAGAGTTTATGAAAGTTGTAAGAAAGGACTGGCAATTCAGGAGGACAAGGGTGTAATGAGGTTATGGAAGGAGAAAATTAGAAGGCTAAATCCTAGCACTTAATCTGTCTACTGTCATAAAAGTCAATAAGAAATGTGTCTATAGATACGTTAGCAGCAAAAGGAAGTCGAAGGAATATCTCCATCCTCTTTTTGGATGGTGGAGGGAACATGACAAAAAATGAGGAAAAAGCTGAGGTACTTCTTTGTGCCTTCTTTGCCTCAGTGTTCAATAGTAATACCAGCTGTTCTCCAGGTAGCAGCCCCCTGAGCTGGGAGGCAGACACAGGAGCAGAATGAAGCCCCCATAATCCATGGGGAAATGGCAGTGACCTGCTTTAACACTTAGACACACATAGTAGGATACCATGTGTTTATATTAGGAAAAATTTCTTCATGGAAAGAGTTGTCAAGCAAAAGAACAGGCTGCCCAGGGAAGTGGAAGAGTCTATTCCACCATCCTTGGAGGTATTTAAAAGACATGTAGATGTGGCACCTGGGGACATGGTTTAGTAGGGGGCTTTTCAGTGCTGGGTTAAAGGCATTTTTCAGCCTAAGTGATTCTCATTCTATAAAGGTATGACATTGTTCACAAAAAGCTTACAGGTAATGGAGAAATGTTGTAAAAAGTAAAGTAAGTTATATCTTAGAGAAAAGTGCGTGAATAACATTAGAGGTAGTAAAAGTCCATCTGGCCTTTATATGGAAATGAAAACAAGTAACTGTCTTTTGTAGCCATCTAAGTGGACAGAGAATAGTAGGATTTAACCACTTTGTGAGGTTTATAAACTACAAATATAGTGAAATATTAAAGTACAATAAACAATGTACAATTCACAGATGTGCCAGTGAATAACTCCTCACCCATTTTGCTGGAGCCTCTGTGCTGGCACCTGAGACTTCTGTAGCAGGCATGGTCAGGGGTGGGAAATGCAGAGTCCTGCCACGGGACAGCCAGAGTGAACAAAACTGCTCATCTCTGTAAAGCAAGCAGGATTTGGAGTCACAGGTATCACTGCTATGCAATGGTGTTTCCCTGCCATCCTATCGTGCTCCACATCTTCAGCTCAGGGTAACAAAGGATTACATTCCATCGATGAGCTCAGATATCCCTGTGGCACACAGGGTATGTGTGCACTGAGCATGTCAGTCACAAAAAAAGAAAACGTTTGAAGCAGGCTGTGGAAGTCCCTCTGCTGGAGAGCAGAGCATCTTGCATCCAGAATTTTAATGTACATAAAATCCTCTCTGTATCACTGCCATGCCTTTCTGAAGCAGCCTTCAGCACAGAAAAGCCCCACTAATTTCTATTTTAAGAAAAATAGAGATCATATAAACAGCCTGGGATTTTTTTCCTGTGGATGAGCTTTACAAAGTGAGGTTTGTTTTCATTAATTTGTAGACAGTGATTGAAAAATCCCATGTACTGGGCTACATAGCAGCACAGTAGTGCATGTTTTTAAGATACATGGTATGAAGAAAAACACACTCTTTGAAAACAAAACTCGTGATAGCTAGAGTTTCATATTTTAGCTTTCCTGCAAAGCAGAGCCTATTTTCAGACATATTTCCACAAAACTCTGTTCCTTATCTGCAAATATGCAGCGTCTCTTCATGCTGCCTAT